TCTTCTTCTTCTTCTTCTTCTTCTTCTTCTTCTTCTTCTTCTTCTTCTTCTTCGCCATCGCCACTCTCCTCCTCTCCCCCCCCCAAGCATCACAAATCAGACCCAGCTCCTCACAGAGCTAATTATGAAAAAACCCAGAATGGTTATCGATAGCGTAGAAATCATAAAGCTCGCCTTCTAATTAATCTAAGCGAGGGTCACTTCCATGTCCTGCACTTTACTGTGGCCACCTTCTCTCTCTCTCTCTCTCTCTCTCTCTCTCTCTCTCTCTCTCTCTCTCTCTCTCTCTCTCTCTCTCTCTCTCTCTCTCTCTCTCTCTCTCTCTCTCTCTCTCTCTCTCTCTCTGCCTTGACTCATTACCGAGCGTGTTGGCCGGCCCAGTGGAGTGATCGCTTTCGATAAGAAGGGGTGTAAATGACGGTGATCGCTGGACCGTTTTGATTAGAGCGTTAGAATGGATCGAAACTCTGTGGGGCCTGTACCCGCTTGTGTTTATTGATCAACGCCGAATAATGATCTACGAATAAGGGATTTTGAACCCGTTGCGAAAACCAAATCTCAGTTTAGGTTGACTGCGCCCACAAACAGAGAAAGGGGCCAGGAGAAAGGAGGAACGTTTTAGGAGTAGTGTGCTAGGCTAGCTTACCGTGCCTATTGTGTCTGGTTGGACCGGTAGCGATAACAAAGCGAGATTCAAGTATCTGTTAGTGCTGGGAGATATTATAAATCTTCCCTTGCCTGTGTGTGACTGGTTCAGCGTGCTGACGCTTGAAGTTGAAGTAAGGCGGGGCTGTGTTGCATTATATCGGGCCTGTCCTGGGGATTGTCTTGTTGAACAGGTACAGTAGTCTGGTTGGTTTTTTTCTTCTTCTGGAATTTCATGCCTGAAATGTAAGCGTACACATATCATTATTATTATTATTATTATTATTATTATTATTATTATTATTATTATTATTATTATTATTATTATTATTATTATTACTATTATTAGTGTTAGTATTATTGTTGTTGTTGTGGTTGTTGTTGTTGTTGTTGTTGTTGTTGTTGTTGTTGTTGTTGTTTTTAGTGTAGCTGTTGTGGGTTTTTTTGTTGCTGTTGTTTTCAAACAGCTCATGCAGTAGTTTCCTTTGTACCCTTCAAATCCAGGAGACAGAGGGATATAATGTAGGCCTTACACACAGTTGTGGATAGATAGATAGATAGATAGATAGATAGATAGATAGATAGATAGATAGATAGATAGATAGATAGATAGATAGATAGATAGATAGATAGATAGATAGATAGATGATTGGGCGTGTAAGCAGGCAGGCTGGTAGGTATATGAGAGTGTTTTGAAAGAGAGAGAGAGAGAGAGAGAGAGAGAGAGAGAGAGAGAGAGAGAGAGAGAGAGAGAGAGAGAGAGACAGACAGACAGACAGACAGACAGACAGACAGACAGACAGACAGAGAGAGACAGAGACAGAGACAGAGACAGAGAGACAAAGAGACAGAGAGATGAGACAGAGACAGAGAAAGACACACACACACACAGAGAGAGAGAGAGAGAGAGAGAGAGAGAGAGAGAGAGAGAGAGAGAGAGAGAGAGAGAGAGAGAGAGAGAGAGAGAGAGAGAGGTTCGCATTTCATTTTTGCACCAACCAGGCTGTGATTGAGTACATCAAATATTTCTAATTTCCGAGAGCCATCTCCACGGGCTTGTATCGGAGACTTGATGTTGACAAGGCCTCTTGGCCACTCCGAGTTAAATTCTCAATAATTGGTCGCTTTTAAGGGCAAGCGGGCTAACCCAGATTTCGGGGGTTTCCAGAAATCTTGACTTACACCAAAAGTGGGCATTGCCCTACCTATAGGAGAAGTTTGGTTTCATTAGTGTATATATTTGTTTGTTATAGAGAAAACTCTCCTTGTATTTTTATAGAAAATGAATAAGTATCCAAAAACTTTACCTTCGATTTTCTCAAAACAGCATTTTTCGGGATAGCCCCCTTGTGCTTAAAAGAGACCAATTATGGAAACAGATTTCCTCTAGTGTCCACGTCTTTCGTCTTGCCTACTGTATCCCACTGGTTAGGCCCTGGCTGGCTAGGAGCAACTAATTGCCTCCCACACAATCGAAGTTGTGTCGATGGAGGTGTTAAACATCATTATACGTCAACGCCCAACAGCAGTGAGGTGAGGAATGAGCCTGTTGTACAAGATAGCCATAAGCGAAGAACAGCTCCTCTTGTCAGTTCGTGGGCTTTGGAAGTCAGTCATACAGGCAACAAGATCAATTTTGCTATAGCAGACC